TGCTGTCCCCTGGTAAGTCTCTCTAGCAGAGCTCTGTGTTCAGAATTGCTAACGGCTGTCTAGGCTGGGGGCAGATTCGCTTTTCTCCTCTCGAAATACTGGACAGCACAGCAAGAACATGCCCTGTAGAGGAGACATGTGACCTCCTCTCAGAGGTGAGCCAGGGCTTCTCAGGAAGTCACGTAGCACAGCCGGCTGGGCTGAGGCCACAGAACATAGTGGATTATCCTTACAAATTATTAAATCTGACACAGACAATAGGTGGCTCATTTTAGTCACTGAAAAATGTCTCAAGTGTACCCATAGATCATCAGACTCTAAGTATGTAACTAGCTAGTGTAACTTCCACGAAAAATGAGTTGCAAAAGATATCCTTAGGTTGGCTTACCACATGTGAAAGTGGACAGGTGACTTTTAATTGTATGAAAGGGATCAGTTATCGTGACTCAGTTGAGAATACTGCATTTTATTACCGTAAATTAAGGAGGCCTTTGGTGGAAACATTAAAATATGCCCGTGCAACTTTACGAGGAGTGATATTTATTTCAGTATTTTCCTTAGCAAAACTTCAGTGAAACGATTAAAAGTCCTGGCTCTAGAGGTAGGCGGCCTGGGGTCCTGGTCCCGGTCCTGCCACTGACTGGTTGTGTACCTTGGCCAAGTCACCTTTAGTCTCGGTCTCCGCAACTTAACAGTGCGACGGTGAAGGTGGCCGACTCCGTCTGGATATACTAGGGATCGAGTGAAGGAAGGCGCAGTGCCTGACTGTCAGCCACTCCGGAAGGAGCTGCCCTCATGATTAGTGTTAATATTTCCATATTTCTCTTGCTTAGCATTGCGTTCCCATTGGAGAGCAGCTTCAGTCGGTTTTGGGAAATTCCGGATACAAGCATATGATTGGACTACACTCCTCGTCTACCTCAGGAGCCTTCGCCAAGTTATCCTCCACACCTTTTCCTTTCAGAACTGGATTGACATCCGAAAACGTGACTGAAGACTTCAAAGCTTCCGTTGATAAAAGTGTGCAGCCAGCTGGTGGAGGAGCCGTCACAAACTTCCAGGAGTGTAAAATTGTGCCACAAAACCATTCTCTTCTTGAGAATGATCTTAAGAAAGCAGTATCTTCTTTCTTACCAAAGAAGGCGAGTGACAGCTCACAAGTACCCAACTCCGAGCTGCTGCCTCTCTTGCAGAATTTATGCAGCCAAGTGAGCCATCTCCGTGTGGGGCCTACCAGCAAGTGGCAGGAAGGCATCACTGCGCCCACTGAAGGCACTGTTGGTGTCACGTAAGTGCTCAGGGCAAGTGGGGCTTAGCTTTGCTGGGTGGGAGAGGCAGCTGGAGGAGAACAGGTTTTTTCAGAAACTACTGCCTACAGATGTTTCCAGAGTAATTTTAGGAGGTTTTACATTTTACCATTAAGACACTTAGAGGAAAGTTCTGCAGAGTAGAATATGGAGGAGGTGTGTAAAACTGGAGGCGTGGAGGTGTGGAGCACA